GATTGCAGGGTCATATGGAAGGTCAATTTTTAGAGCTTTTAGGAATCGCCACGCTGCTTTCCACAGAGGTTGCACTAGTTTACACTCCCACCAACAGTGTAGGAGTGTTGTATATTGTTTAAAAACCTAAGGATCTTGTGAAAAACACACTATTTGTACTTTTAAAGCTAATACAATCTATCATAATGGTTACTTATATGAAAATTTTTTATTTCTGTTAGAAACTTCTGGTCTCTCTTGTACATGAAGCATGGATTGGAGTCTCCCGTAAGAGCAGTGATCATCCATGGGTGTCAATAAAGGGCTCAATGTTCAAACATCAGTAATTTTTTTGGAACAGTGCTATAAAGAGAAATAATATATAAAAGGGAGAAATTCAAAGAGTAATATGAATAAGCTTATGTTGATTTTTAGACATGAGGAAAGATTTTGAAAGCTAGTACAATGTTGAAATAAATAATACATAATGTGCCATAGTACACCCCTAATCCACAATTTCACTCTCTGTGGTTTTATTGCTCAGGAGCAACCTCAGCCAAAAATATTAGTAGAAAATTTCTGGAAAAAATAATTCATGAGTTTTAAATATGAACTGCTCTGAATGGCATGATCAAATCTTTGGTAGTATTGATCTTTCCCACCTGAAACATGAATCATTGTTTTGTCTGGTGCATCCACACTGTATATGTTACTTGGTGTTCATCACTTATAATCATCAGATCCACTGTCTTCATAGTGCTGTGTTACTTAATAAGTGCTTAGTTTACTTACAAATGCAAGAGTGGTTATGTAAGCATATTGTTATGATTATTATGTTAAATTATTGGGTATTGATAATCTCTTGTCCTAATTTACATGTATGCATGTAGAGATAAAACAGTATTTACTCGTATGAGAATCGGGACTATTCATGGTGTCAGGAATCCACTAGAGTTAATGTCTCCCTCTTAGTAAGGGGGGGGACTTAAGTTTTGTTTAATAACCGAGTATTATGATAAATATTCTAACCTCTTTTCAGGGTATTATTTTCTTAAAATACATGGATAATTCTCTTATTTCACAGAATGTTGCCCCAAAATAAAATGAACTGTGGCTTTTTCTTAATTACAGGATAACAGAATATTTTCTTCAAGGCAACTGTGCAAAGATAAGCTTACAAGTACTTGAGGCAGACAAATGTGGAGGTTCAGAACTTATAGTTGTAAGCATACGTTCAGAATTCAAACCACTGAATTTGGAGTCTATTGGGTAATTTTATATTTTATTAATTGAAAATAATATTTGGATCACATAAGTCTGAAAATGAATTATGTTGTTTGTTTCAGCAGTGAAAATAAATGTCAAAATGAGTTACTAAGGTATAATACACACACCACGAAATGCAGATATCACTGCTGTTGTGCCTGAATCCTTCTCCTGAACATTAGATTTGTGTCATTAAACCTTTCTAAAGTTACATGTAATGTGAGTCTGTTTGTGTGAAATATCAAGAATAGGCAAATCTATAGAGACAGAAAATGCAATAGCGGTGGCCAAGGGCTTAAGGTGAATTAGAAAGTGACTGCCAATAGCTACAGTGTTTCTTTTTGATAGTGGTCTTTGTTGTAACTCAATGAATATATTAAAATTTTTAAGTGGATGAAATTTATATTATGTACATAACACTTCAGATAATAAATGAGATAGTTTATAAATGAGATACTTGGGTTTCACATGAATATGTGACATGTGCCTCCCTAATCTTAATATGAAATGGGCATATTACTCATCTGGCATGAAATAAATAAATAATGACATCAAAAAGCTCTCATGGGATTTACATTTGGGACTGCATTTAATCTGTCACATAATTTTTAAAGATTATGGATCTTTGTAGTGTTGACTTCTCCAACAAAACTCAGGCTGTGATCTCTATGTTAAGTTTTCTTTGATTTCTCTCTATCACACATTTTGTATTTTTTAATTTTGAAGTCACACAGTAATAATATAGGCATTTCACTTTCTTGTTTTTGTAAATGGCATCTTTATTTTAAAATTTATTTTAGAAATGTGTGTTGCTAAGTGTAAATACCATTGAAGTTTGCACGTTGATCATATATTCAGTTGCTTCATTGATTCTATTATTAACACTATAATTTCAAGTATAGTTTTGTTCTGTATTTTCTAAATAATCAACTATTTTATCTGTAAATAATTACACTTTTATTTTCTCTCTCTAGGTGTAATGATTTTCTTTCTTGAAATATTTTCACTGTTGAAAGGTTTATTTCTAATAAAGGTTCTTTCTTTCTTCTTCTATTCTCTTATTTTTGTGTAAGGAGTCTTGGTCTATCTCCAAGACTGGGATGTAGTAACACAATTATGTCTTATTGCATTTTGTCTTTTGTTGTGTATACATTTAAGAAAATCTGTTCTATGTATATTTATGTATTATTCCCTGTTTTGTGAAAAAATTCATTTATGTTTTGAAATTTTCTTCTTAACCTTCTCATTTTGAAGGAATATAGCAATATTCTAATTTGTCTAATCGATTTTTTTCCTAATGATATTGCATTTGTTGTATTCTTATCAATATGCTTTATCCGTATAATGTTCACAATGTAATTTACAATTACCTTCAAATTTTTCTTTTTCTTTTTTATCTTCTAATCTCTTATTTTTGTGTAAGGAATCTTGCTCTACCTCCAAGACTGGGGTGTAGTGCCACAATGATGGCTTATTAATTTTCTAACTGCTGCACTCAAGAAACCTCTCTCCACAACCTCCTGAATACTTGGTAACACAGTTACATTACATGCTACCACAAGGAGTAGTTTTTTTCTTTTCTTTCTTTTCTTTTCTTTTGTTTGTTTCTTTCTTTTTTTAAAAATTTTTGCAGAGTTATGTTACCTAGTATAATTTGGCTTCCTGCATTCAAACAGTCCTCCTACCACAACCTATTAAAGTGCTAGAATAACAGATATGAACCTCTGCTAGGGCTTATTTCTTCCATATTTTAAACCAGTCGCGTTTCTAAAAAAAAACAAAAAACAAAAAACAAAACCATGATTATTATTGTGTACTGCCCCTTTAAAAATAAATCAGTGAATATATTATATTCAAGGTAATATTTGTTTCTTTATCCAGGTTCACAGGAAAGTTTGACTGCTTTTATTTAACACTTTGGCTATCAAGGCTGAACTGAGAGGCAGTCCTCTTTTTTCTGTAACCTAGAAGAATTTTTTTTTTAGTGCTGTTTCATTTATAAAAATTCTTATTCAGTGGTAGTGATGTCAGAGTTCCTATAATATTTTTGGAGAAAAGTTTTTATAACAAAGTCAATTTCTTTAATACATGAAGGCTGTACTAAGCATCTGTTTGGGGTACTGCATTTTGATAATTTTTATTTTCTAGATTAAATGCTATATGGATATTAAAATGTATACTGAATATAGTTAAATATCAATAATGATTGATATCTGTAAAAACCACCATGATTTCTCTTGTTTAATCTAGAAACAAAAATCTGTACCTTATCTGATTTTTGCCATCAATATTCTTTCATCAGAATTTTACAGTTTTTTCAATAAAAATACTTTTGCTTCTTGTACATCCCCACCATAATTGTGTTTAAGGTCATAATTTTATACTATTTATTTATTCCCTTCTACTACTTTGCTTTTATTTACTGGTAGTAAATATCAAATTTCCCATTTTACATTTCCTTGATGAATTCTCAGATAATTCAACTTCTGCTTTTGTCTTTTGTTGTGTATACATTTAAGAAAATCTGTTTTTCACAAGGAAGACTTTATTTTCATGGGATTTTATATAATTTTGAATATTCACTGTGATATTTTTAACCCTTAATTTATTTATAAATATATTACTGAATTATAAGCCATTTGAGTTTTCACATGTTTGGTTAATGATTTATATTTTAAATAACTTATCATCAGAAGGTTTTCTGTGAAGTTGGAAGTTTTCCATATCTGTGTCTAAATGTAACTATCATGCCTGAGGAAGTGATATAAAGTTACTAATTTTTAGTTCATTAATATTAAATCTGAGTAACTGTATTCATGTTTCAACAGGTAAAGCTTGGCTGCCATGGTTCTGCATTGAAAATACAGCACTGTATATTTGTATTAAAATGCTTGGCAAGATGTTATCGTAGTGCACTTTTGGAACATTTTTATGTGAACTTGAAGATATAAATATTTGATATTTGCATAAAGAGTATATGTGTGTTCATATGTGTGTTGATTAATTGTTTAGCTTATGTATTCTATAGGCTCACTGCAATGTCTGTATTACAAGCAGCAAGAAAAGTGTGAAATACCTGTTTTTGAGGACCTATTTAGGTGCTTCTTTCAATTCTATGTTTAATTTGTATTAGCATTCCATATAAACTATTTTTATAATATTACTAATGATTCGATATAAATATATATTTTTAGAAGCATGCTTTTTCATTTGTAATAATGCTTCTTTCTTACATTATGACAGTACATTAACTTTAGAAATTTTTTTTTTTTTTTTTGAATTGGAGTCTCACTCTGTCGCCCAGACTGGAGTGCAGTGGCTGCTCCCGGCCACCGCAGCCTCAACCTGCTGGGCTCCGGCGATCCTTCCGCCTCAGCCTTTCAAATAGCCGGAATTACAGGCATGTACTACCACGCCCGGCTGATTTTTTGATTTATTGTAGAGATGAGATCTCGCTGCCCAGGCGGGTCTCGAACCCTCGGGTTCAGGCAATCCACTCACCTCAGCCTCCCAAAGGAGCGGGATTACAGGCTGAGCCACCAAGCCCGGCTTAACTTTAGCAGTTTTTTTGAGTTTCTTTTGCATGGTCTATGTTTTCATGTCCTTATTTAAATTTTTCTTTAGGCTTATGTAAGGAGTGTCTCATTGAAAGAGCAAAGAGTTATTTTATTATAAACATTCTTGGTATTTTTTAAAATAAAAAGAATTTTATTTCTATATACTGAAGTTATCTCATTTTAAGTATATTTATTTTTATGGGAATATCTTATTTAAAAGAAATAATTATAATACAATAGAGTATATGAATTGAAAATTAGCAATTTTTAAAATTCCAATTCATTAATTTTGTCTTCTCCATTTTTATTGTTGACTTTATAATATACAGATTGGCTTATTTAATGTGCTTTAAATATTCTTTTATTAGTGCCCTGCATTTTACAAAATAGCCTTCTTAAACAGTGAAGAAATGTAACATTCTTTCCTATTGTTTGAATGTTTGTGTCTCCTCTAAAACTCAGGTTGAAATTTAAACCTTATTGTGATGGTATTAAGAGGTGGACCATATTGTGATGGTATTAAG